AACTCGTCATTTTGACAGTCGGAGTAACCTATCGTGTGTGGGCACGACTTCTCAGGTATAACATTATCACTATCAGATGATAATGTTTCCATCTGAGGGCGAATTGCCTTCCTTGGACTTTCAAGAGTCACGCGCCTTGAGACATGCCTTTTTGGGCGTGAATTCTCAGCGGGCTCTTGGACCTCAATGCGCAAATTAGCGCGCGCAGTTGCCTTGAGCTCCTTGTCATGTTGGAGGTAGCGGTGACCCCCAGCGTGTTGATTCGTTCGGGGTTTTCTTAGTGGGCCCAAACGTTCTTGGATCGGAGCTTTGCTTCGCTCATCGGGAATTGGACCGAGGCGCTCCAAGACTGGCTTTCTTCTTCGGGAGGATTCTGCATGATCTCCCGGAGTAGCTATGGGAATTCTCGGCGACTTAGCTGGGTTCGCCGGAGGTTGAATTTTGGTTGGAGGCTGCAAAGGTTGCTCCTTAGCCTGAATTGCCGCTTCAGACTTTGGCCTCCAAACTTTGCGAGTTGGTGGCGGCTTCTTGGCCACTTCTTTCTGCAACTTTCTACGGGCTTCTTCGGCTTGAGCCCGTGCCTGCGCTGATAGTGCGCGGCGTTTGCGGATGCGTTCTTCCAGCGTCGAACGATTCCGTTTGACACGGACCCATTCCATTGTTGGCGGCTTGGAAGAGGCGCCGTTCATCTGTTGTTGAGGCTGTTTGCCTCTCTTGTTCTTCAGACCCGCGTTGTAGCGGACTCCGTCGGTGGACTCCATCGCTTTGGCGAATTGTTTGGCCAAGCGTTGGCGTTGCCTTTGGCGGGCTCTCTTTGAGAGAGTCACCGCTCCTTTGGTGACGGAGGAATTGGTTGGAACCAGCTTGATCTGGTTGGAGATTGGTGGAGCCTCATCTGACGCAACTTTGGCGTCAATCGAGATGAGGTCGTCGTTGGTAGCTTCAACTTCTTCGTACCAACGCACCTTTCTGTTGGAAGAGAACTTGGACTTCTTGGACTTGCGGGGGGAGGTTGATCTAGACGAGGATGAAAGGTATTCCTCGAACTTGGTCTGATCGAACTCGTATTCGACCTCCTCCACGACTGGGATCAAGATCCGCGGCTGCGACGCTCCGATCTCGGCAGCGAGATCGGTGGCTCCCACTGTGGTCGCCAGATTGTTCGCTGGAAAATTCGTGTCTTTCTTTGTTATTGATTCCATTGTCATCTTGAGTTACAACTTTTTGAGTTACAAAAGATCCGGTCTTTTTATAAGATCCGGTTACAACGAAAATCAAATAAAAATAAACAAAGATTACAACTTTTCTCCTTTTGTGTCGAACGAATCGCGAGCTCCTGTTTTGCGGTCGCTCGCTTTGTGGGTTCTTTGCCTGCGCCGGGGTTGTTTGCCGTGGACCACCGCGCGATCTAGATCCGGTCGGATCTACGCAGTACAACGGGTATTATTTCACCAAGGAAATAATAGCCGGGGAGGATTGTTTCACCAAGGAAACAATCGTCCAAGTCTCGGGATCTAAGACCAAGCTTAGATCCGGAGTATGCCTGCGTAGATCTGAGATCTGATCCTCTCGAACACCTGCCTTATTTGACGTTGATGATCGCCGAGCACCAGATCTGAAGGAGTGAGTCCCCGAAGTCCCAAAGTTTCAATCTTTTTTAAGTTCCGAGTCTCCAATCCAGCAGGGCTTCGCCTCTCTCCAAAATTTCCAACCTTCTCAAATGACAAGGGGGTGGCCTATTTATAGGCTCTCAGGACAGTGCCCGCAAAAAGAGAAACGTCGGCCACCGTCGGCCACTGTCGGCCACCTCGAGGTGGCCGGCACTGTGCCGAGCCACCTTGGTGGCTCGGTGAGCCACCTCGGTGACTTGGTTTCCGAGCCCCTCCGGGTGTTTGGTTTTCTGCTGTTTTTCACCTTTGGGTTCTGTCCGTGATTCGGTTGATCCAGACTCTGATTTGATTCCTGATTTGGCAGTAAGTCGGATTCCTGATTTGGCAGTAAATCCGCTTCTGAGTTCGAGTCCGAAACTGATCTTGATTCGATCGTGATTCGTCCGAGTCTGTTCTCGGTTGGATGACTCGTTAACTCTTCGAACCTTTGGCTTGATTCCACACGTGTATGGATGCATTCCGTCGCTTGATGCGATTAGTCAATCTCGTCGCCTCGTTGGTTTGTCGGTTTGTGCCGAGCTGGATAAAAGGGACCTATAAGCAATTTTATATGCCTACATATGTACATCAAAGGGATCATGACAATCCTTAAATTATTGGATTTCGAGATTCGTACACAGAGTAGGGATTCAATAATTTATATTTTTTTATACATATTTAATATTATGAATCGTGTCTACCGAATACTTTCTCATTTTTCAAGTCCTATTTATCTTTATTGAGGGATAATATGTTTCTTTATTGTGACGTCAGGTAAGAAGGTAGTCAACGAATTAAATAATCTCCTCAGGATTCTCTAGAATATAACACAATAAAGATTCGACCATTGCTTAGCGTACATCTCCTTCCATCAATCAAATCCAACCGGTTCTAAGATTACTCCAATAAAAAATATCTAATGTAACTTGACCAATATTTAAGGCCATTGCTTAAATATCCAGCAACCCATGAAAAAGCAAAAACTCATTACAGTGAGTGAAGAGACATTGCTAAACCTTTGCAGGAATAATTTAGAGCAATTAAACAATTCACAAACTCAACACATACAAGTGCCGTAGCATGGTTCAATGAAAAACCAAAGCAGTGAAACCTTTATTCATAGTAGGGAATATTTTTAAATTTTTTTTTTAATTAAGAATCTTGAAAAAGGTTGAAAACTTTATTGTTGGTCTTAATTACATGGCAAACTTGGAAGTTGTTTTTCTTCCACAATGGAACGATATTCCTATGTTCATGATGAGATCCTCCACAGAATAGTATTTATAAAGTTCAACTAGATAGATAAGCTATAACAAAAAGTTACGCACCAAGACCATTAATAGCTAGTTGTAAGGTATATATTATACGGAAAATGCAAAGATATATTTCATGTCTTTCTACAAAATTTAGAAAGCAAATAGTTAATGTTACGTACAACTGATATAATATACAAAAGGCACATTTGAGATGCCATGAATGATGAATCTCAAATGGAGATTATTAAATGTGGAAGCACTAAGAGATCCAACCAAAATGCCCGTTTACAAATTAAAGCCAGGATCACATCTTGCAACGTAAACAAACTCAGTGGGAGCGCTAAATAATATACAAAAAAGTAACCATATGAGAAGCCGAGAATCGTACCTTGATGCTTCATCCTATAGTTTAACAAAAAACAATTTAATTTATCATTTTACATGCAATATCCATGAGACTACGTTATCAATATATATGTTTGACCAAGAAAATGTGTTTAATAAGTAAGCAATGCAGACCTCGTCTGATCATTCAATAATGTGAAAGAACAAAGTGCAATCGCTATTCGCCAATCTATCAGACCAAGAACAAAAAAGGGTCCCAAAAAAAAGAAAAAGAATTTGGCAGTGTTACACATAACCCTCTAAACTTTGTTTATCTCACTTAGCCCCAGAACTTTGAGGTTTTTCACTAAACCACTTTGAACTTTGAACCATTCTCCCCGGAAGGCTAAGGTTTCACTGAGGGAAAAAAAAAACCTAAAACTTAGGAGAGAGGGCATAGTGCCTATAAATGAGAACCGACAAACTTTAGATGTTTTCAACGCAATAAAAATTTTAGTTATTTATAAATTACATATAAGGAGGTCTAATGTGAGAAGTTCAAATTTCGAGGGGGTTTGTTAAACGCCCAAGTTTTTTTTTTTCCTTTTTTCTTTTTTTGTTTTGGGGTTGGGTGGTTGTCAGATAAGAAAAGTTTGGGGTGATTTTGTGAAATTAACCCTTAAAAAATGAATGTGTTAATTCAAGCACAAGAGTCATTACATGAACTATAAACAAGTAACAACAAACTATATTCTCCAAGCACTTCCCTCATAATAACATATTTTTGGTGGATCATGCAGCCAACGGTACAGAGGAAAAGCATAAAGATTGTGAAAATAAACTTTAGAAATTCCAGTCCGTCCATGTGCAGGAACACTATTATTAGTGGTTGCACTTTGCACATTAACGCTAGTATATATTATTAGGACATGGCACATTAAGTCAACCACAAAAGAAAAATGTTTTTTGATCGCGAGTCAACCAATTTTAAAGCATGCGGAAAACAACAATAATGCAGAATATAACGTGGCTAATACGACAGCCAACGCCACACATTAACTACAGAAGTGTTAAAGTTTCATATATTATCAAGATTAACTAGATAGTAGTCAAAAATTTTGGAAAAAGTTGATACAAGACACATTCATAAAACTATCGTGAACTATTGGGATTTTGCACAAAATTACAATAAACTATTTTTAATGCAGAGAAAATATCACAATATTCAAAAATATATATTTAAAAAAAATCATGTAATGTTAGTAATTAACCTAAACATTGTTAAGAAGCCTAAATGCCCTAATAAATAAGAAGGCAATCAACCAAGTTAAGTATCACAACTAATACTTGATAATTATTACTGAAATGTAATTAACTAGTTCTTCAAACGAGGCAGAAAAAAAGGGTATGCTTCAAGTTATATTTACATTCAAAAGAGAAGGCAATATAGAGATTCCAACCGTGAAGAAAACAGAACATTCAAGTTGAAGATTCCGTATGATTGAGATTTTCTGGCCACTGGTCTCTGTCTCTGAATGAGAACTATGTTACCAAAAGAAACCCATGTTTCATTTGAATTCATTTTATTCTACGA